ATTTGCTACCTTGTTGCTCCTCCACATAGCTTCTGTTTTTCTATGTAGCTTCCTCAGACTCCTTCATCACCATGCACTCTCAAGAGTAGTTAGACTTCTCTCCTATAGGGTGGCTGGCTCCAGATAGCTAGCTCAAAGGGAAAAGGCACAAATTCTTAGGTTTGTGAGAATTTGCTCCATAAACTTTAAGCTTACTTCATGACATTATACTTGTCAAATCAGATCACAGGGCAGGAAGAATTGTTTTGACCTCTATGTTGACTAGTTAAAATGCTGTGCTTGTCTTCAGTTCATCACACCACTTTGTCCCCTGGAAAACTGAGCTTACTTCAAAGTAAGTAGCCACTTTGAAAGAGAAATACTTAAACACAAATTACAGCCAACCACACTCTTAATATTTTGTATGAACAGATTTAACATTTTGCCACATGTTGTCTAAGTTATATTAAAATGCTAGAAGCCAACCAAATACAGAACTTCTTGTGTAATGAATGTGACTAATGATATTAAAATAACTTGGTAAGAGAGAAAAAAGAACAACAATCCTAGTGCAATATGCCAGAGGCAATAAATTCAACTGTACAATGTAAAAATATATGCGTGAAGAGCACAAATTAGTTACTATAAGTAGCTAATTCATAGAGGTTATAATTCAGTTATAGAAATCTAATTTTCTGGGAACTGTGAGTTTATTTGATACCACACTTTATCTGTACCCTCTAAGAAAATGAACACAGTTAAGTTTCCTTAGTTCTGAGGAAGGGCATGTTTCTCAGAATTTTAGAGGACAGAGAGGGTAGGGTAAATGAGGGAAGTATAGAGGAAAATAAGCAGGGAGGGCGGTAAAGAGGCGAAAGAGAGAGAAACACGTTCAGAGTGTGAATTTTCAACAACTCTATTAAGCTTTAATTTTATTGAGATAAGAAAATGCTCATGCTGTTTCCTTTTAATAAAAATATTTACTAAAATTTCATCCATCTGTATGATTATTAATTTAGTTCTTTAAATTGAAAAGCAAGTTTTCCATGTTTGTTTCTGGCTTCTAGATATGTGACAAAGCAAGGATTAGAGAATGGAAGGTAGAAATATCAAGAAGAACCATGATCATTCCCTTGGCCTTATGCCTGTGTTCCTCCCACATGATGGAGTCCAAACCACCCTTAGGGTGTTCTAAGCCAGAGCTGCCCTAATGAAGTTAGTGAACCTATAAAAATTCAGAGGAATTTGCTCTTGACTTCTTCACCTAGCTTGAAAACAGCCTTCATAGGTCACTTGAGAGGGAAAAGGAGAATGATGACAGCTATGCACAGCCTGAGCAGAGTGAAAGGCAACACAAAGGCTGGTGCACCTTGGCACTGGTGCAAGATCCTTATGGTACCCCAAGGCTGCTTTTAGCATGACTATTTGCTTCTATGAATTCTGTCCCTGGATATTACTCATTTCTTTCCAAACTTGCTTCCTCTGTGATCCATCCCCAAACTACCTACTCCAATTGCGTACCAGCTTAAGCCGGGAAACTTTGCTCCACAAAGTCACTGCTCAAATCTGTTTACTTCTGAACAGGCCATTTCCTGTCTTCCAAGATCAAAGTGCTCCCTCAGAGGGATTACTGACCCTTGTCTCATCTGATTTCTTTTCCAAACTGTCCTTACCATGTGGTTGTAGGAGTAAGACCAGGATAGTATTTATCTAGCTGTATCTAAGTCCTTACCAGACTTGTTTGGGCCCATGGGCCTCACAGAAATACAGGACATACTAATTGGTCAGTGGAAAGACATGTAAATTAGTGTCAATAAGGCTGACACCGCAGAGTGGTTCTACCAACTGATGGCTTTCTCAGTTTTAAGTGACTGTTCTAGTTTGCTTTCTATTACTGTGACAAAACACTCCTACCAATACCTACTTGGAGAGGAAAGTGATTATATGGCTTACATCTCCCAGGTCACGTTCATTAGAGAGCCTAAGGTAAGAACTCAGGGCGAGAACCTGGAGGCAGGAGCTGGAGCACAGGCCATGGAGGAACACTACTTACTGGCTTGCTCCCTGGCCCATGCTCAGCCTGCTTTCTTATACAATACAGAACAACCTGCCCAGGGGTAGCAATGCCCCCAGTGGACTGGGCCATCCCACGTCACTTAACAGTCAAGAAAATACCCCACAGACTGGTCCAGTGGACACAATCCCCCAACTGAGTATCCCTCTACCCAGGTGTGTCAAGTTGACAACTAAATCCATGCAGCATAGTGACTATTAAACTACGGGGTCTCAGCTTCCAGGATTTAAAAAATGGGTACGAGGGCCAGCCTATGCCATCTACCTGCCTCAGTACGTACTACAGGAAATCTGTACTTCCAGGAGCAGAACCTGAGGCAGGTATTCCTGTATTAAGAAAGGCAGAGATGGATATTGCCTCTCATCCAGCCAATCCTACCCTCCACTCTGAACTGTGAGTGGGCACAATGGCCTGATATTTTTAATGTTACCATTCCCTCTCTTTTGTTCCATCCCCTACACATTTATGATACATGTATTAAGTACTATCAGAGGCTGAAGACAAAGGCAAAATGAGAAAGGATCCCTAGTTTGCAGTACCAGGCATGAAATCCCTCCTGTGAAGCAGGCCTCATATCCAATTAGAAAACAGTTGGTTACCCCCACAACTTCCATGTCACTATTTTATCAGTGGGTATAACTTGCCAGCAGGTTAATGCTGTAGCATGCCAGGTACAGTGCTCAGTAAGACCATTAATATATTTTGTCTCCCAGCAACTTGTATAGCACCTTCTGGCACTATTAAGCTAGCCAGCATGGAGAGAGCTTCCTGGTCAGTTTGAGGTTAATTTCTTGAAATCTTCCAACCAAAGTGGGTGATGTCTTCAGCAATAGGGTCTTACATTATTGTTATGGTCGGCAACCAAGAGCAGTGGAATACCCTGTGTTGTTTTGTGTGCTTCTGATGTCTCTGACCCAATAACTCATAGGGAGATGTCCTGTGCCTGGCAGTGGGATCTTCAGTCAATAACTCATGTCTACTGAGAATAGCATTGTCAACTCATTCAAGATACTGCTGTGCAAACTCCCATTATATATACATATATATGTATGTATAAAATTTAGCTTATAAACTACTAGAATTGCATAAAATTTCTTCATTTATCCCTACTTTTGACTAGCCCAATCCGTACCTCTCCCCAGTGCCCCACCCCCACTTCATCTTTTACCCTCTAGTATTTCAAGGAGTTTCTTGACTAGTAGGAGTGTTCATATCACAGAAGAAGGCAAGGACTCACATTCCCTCCTACTGTTTCTTTGTGCCTGAGTACTTTTCCACCAGTATGTGCCTTCCTTCTCTGTATACCTGCATTATAGACTACAGCTCTGGCTTTCTTCTCTGTCTCCTACTTCCATTGGTCACCATTCAGTTCTATTGAATAGGACTAAATAGGACTCCTTTCAAATATCCTTTTTGCCATTTTTATTTCATCAGTCATCATTTTGCAATGGAGTCTTATTTATAATCAGAGATAGAACAACACATACCAAACAATTTGGAGCATGACTGGTTACCTTCTGAATCCACCACATTTACTTTTTATCTTACTACCTCTGCCTCAAGATCTTTTCCATTGCCAGATGTTTGTGGAGCCCTGCCTCTGGCCAGGCATGTTTGCAGGCACTAGGGGTAGTGCAGCTGACAAAGCAAAGTGGCTTTGCTTCACTGATTTACATTTGAAAGTGGAGGCTGTTGATGATGGTGACAATTAGTATGATGAACACTCTGTAGATAAATGACATAGGGGAAGGGGCTACAAATTGCTGGCTGAGGAGAGAATTCAGGTAGCAGGGATGAGATGATTTGGAAAATCCTCTCTCAAAGCAGTGGAAAAAGGCAGGTAACTGGAGAAAGAGCACTGAAAGCAGAGTAGATAGAAGGGACAGAGGCTCTGAGGCCAGACTCCGTGGTGTGTGTGAGACTGAACAGAGGAAAATGACATTGGTTACAACAGGCCATGTGTATCATAGCCAAGATTTTTATTTTATTTAGAGAGGGGAAAACTATTGGAGGGTTTTGAGAATGGTGGTAAAGTTATCTAACTTGTCTTCTACAACATTCCTGGGCCTCTCTTCTAAAACATTCCTGGGCCTATTCTTTAGAGAATAGGGTGTAAAAAGACAAGAATGTAAGCTGAGGGATTAGATGCAACAGTCTGAGCGAGAAGGCTGAGATAAAAGTCGTGGTGGTAGAAACAAGTGATTTTATTTGAAGATGCATTTTAAAAGCACAACCGTTACTACCTAATGGGTTGGCTCCAGCACCCTATTCCCCCTATTCCAAACTCAGTTGTCAACAATGAATCACATTCGAAGTAGCTGAACAAAACTCTTTTACAGTATACAGAGTAGTGTATTCTTTTTTAAACGAAGAATATTATTCAGGAACAAAGGCAGTCGTATCAAGACAGGAAAAGATAGAATGCTCACAAAGGGATTCTGGATGTAGATTTTGCAAACATTTTTGAACGAGGTGGCTATTACTTTTCAACTAAAGAGAAATCCCTGTTTAATATAGTTTTCTTATGAAAGACAGAACCCCTAACGAGAACCTAAATGGCCTTCTGCAGTGTGTTATTTCTCTGAATGCGATTTAAATAAGCAAGGAAAGGTGTTAACAAACCATCACACCAAAGGCTAAGAACGCTCTCAGGCCCACAAAGGAGCAGTGTCCCAGATGAATGGGCTGGGGATGGCTTTCCTTTGGTTCAGCCAGTCCTCTCCGAACGCTGAGCCTCTGTGCTCACAGCCCTGTGCTGCTGCAGGCTTCAACCCAGCCCTTCAACATCAGCCTGCAGCACAGCTCCCAAGCTACTCCCGCCCCTGCCGCATCTTCCCGCAACCGCGGGCCCCTCCCTGGTTACGCCCCCAACGCCGACGGCCCCCCCCCCCCCGCGCCACCGCTTTCTTACCGCACTGCGCAGGCGCGCCAGCCGCCAGAGTGACCTTGTGGGTGGAGCTTCCGCCACTGGCCGGACACCGCTGCGTACCTCCCCGGGTCAGCGCGCTCCCCCCGAGGACACGCACTTCCTGCCAGGCCTCTGTGCGCACCTTGGCCAAACGGAGCCGAGTCCAGCCGAGCCCAAGCCCTTCTAAGCGGATCGCCATGGTGGACGAGCTGGTGCTGCTGCTGCACGCGCTCCTGGTGCGACACCGCGCCCTGAGCATCGAGAACAGCCAGCTCATGGAACAGCTGCGGCTGCTGGTGTGCGAGAGGGCCACGCTGCTGCGCCAGGTACGTCCGCCCAGCTGCCCGGTGCCCTTCCCTTCAAAGTTTAACGGCGAGAGCGCCCGGCTCCCCGAGTTTGTTGTGCAGACGGCATCTTACATGCTTGTGAATGAGAACCGCTTCTGCAACGACGCCATGAAAGTGGCATTCCTGATCAGCCTCCTCACCGGGGAAGCCGAGGAATGGGTGGTGCCATACATCGAGATGGATAGCCCCATCCTCAGCAATTACCGGGCCTTTCTTGATGAGATGAAACAGTGTTTTGGCTGGGATGACGACGAAGATGATGATGACGACTACGAGGATGATGATTACTAGGCCTGGAGCCCCTTAGGCCTAGAGGGGGAGGGCCCTGCACGCCGCCTCCTCCCCACCCCCACCCGCCACTCCTGCTGCCGCTGTGCTCCCGTTTGCATTGCCATCCTCTTCCCTGCCCGTCTGTTCTCTCCTTCACCCCTGTAGTGCTTGTCTTTGTTCCAGGAACAGTGCTCCAGTTTACCTGCTGCAAGGGCTTGGGTTGGGCCTAGGCCCAGTCGGAACTGCACATTGTCTTTAACTCTGACCAATCTCAGCACTATTCTCCTGCTAATATGAACTGTGTTTTGAGCTCCAGCCATTGTCCAGGACCCTGTTAGAACTGGTCAGACCACCTCATCCCTGCTACTGCCATTCGCTAGACTGCCCGTCCTTCATCGGCCAGGGACTTATGCTGTCACTTCACCACCACCACCATTCACCGCATCCCATCAGCAGACATCTGTTTTTCAAGATTAGGACGAAGTAGAAGATGCCTGAGTTGGCAACACCTCTTCAGACTGATTTGGACAGCTCACCTACCCCTGCATGGGACAGTGTTACAGCCTGGTTAGTTCTGTACTCCAGGGTCCTCTCTGCCCTGCCAGATTGCTGCAGGAGCCTGATGTGCCTGACAGCCAAAATGTTGACATTTCTTTTCTCATATGCATCAGTTTTGCACAGCTGTCATTTTTCTTTCAAAATTGCATCAGTCTCACAGATATGTGTATTTGGACAAATAGTACTGAATAAAGAAGCAAACAGGCGCTTAGCCCAGCTCCTCTCTAGTACCTGGAAAAAGCATTGGCATTCTTTTCAATAAATATTAAGCACTGCAAAACTAGAAAAAGGTGTCTTTTCATGGTTCAATGCTATCTTTGGCCTTTGCCACGCTCACCTCCAGTGTTTTCATTGACATCAGGGAACTTAGTTGGGTCACAGTATTCCCACTGCCATCTTTAGGCTCCAGAAGACACTACCATAAGACCTTACAGACATTCTGGTTCTCGCCCCACACCAAGGAATTTCTAAAAGCCTTGGTGAAGGAATATCCTCTGGAGCCTCCACGGTGGCATGGAAAAGGGTGGCTGAGCACGGGGCCCATCATTTCAAATGGTGATTGGGAGAATGAAAGGGGAACTATTAATTATTGGGCAGGCACCACAGACATACCCCTCAGCACATTAAAGTTTGCTAACTGCAGGGAATTCTGTCCATAGTTCTCACTACATGTGGGTAGCTGTTGAATCCAGACATCTAGTAACTAGCAGCAAACTGTCAGGTGCTTAAACTAACAGTAAATCTTGCATCCTGGTCAGTTGCCCCCCATAGTCAGTATTGCTTAAACTTAACATTTCACTGTCCTTGTGAAGACTGCCTTTCAGTTTCCCTTGGACATTTGCTCCTGATTCCTGCCCTTGAGAATTGGGAAAACGCTTAGCTAGACCCTGGCTAGAGTTTGGTTTGACATCTCTCTGGGTGTGGAGGCTTCAGAGGCAATGAAGAGGTGGGTGGGGTGGGTGATAAGAACAGAAGAATCTGCACAGCTTTGTCAGTCCATTGTGCCAGGTTATCTCACTGAAATGTTGAGAACAAAAACTTAGTAGATGGATCTGAGGGGCTATGAAAAATCAAGATCTACATGTCCTGCATCTACCTAAGTCTGCATTTTATTGTGCTGAGAACTATCCTTTTTTTTTTTTTTTTTTTTTTTTGAGACAGGGTCTCCCTGTAGCCTGAGCTATCCTGGAACTCACTATGTAGACCAGGCTGGCCTTGAACTCACAGAGATCCTCCTGCCCCTGCCTCCCAAGTGCTGGGACTACAGGCGTGTGCCACCATGTCCGGCTGAGAACTATCCTTTTAATTAGTTTAAACAATGCATTCCTGTTTAAAGCATGTTCAGGGAAAACATTTCATTTATTGTACTGGTAAGTGTCCATGTGCATGATATGTGATACTGGTCATCATACCAGTAACATTATAGGTGTGATTTAAATAAGATCCTACCCATAAGGCATTTAGAATGTCTGGTACATTTTCAGTACTTCATAAACATGGGCTGTTACTGCTAGGCCTTGGAAGTAAGTCTTAATGATTTCCAGGCCTTGGATACAAGGTCTCAGCCAGCAGATTCTTAGCTATGAGGTTGGCATTAATAGGAAAAAGTCAAGGTGAACCGGAACCAAGTAGGGAGAGATGAAACGAAACCATAACAAGAGCCCCCCTTTTCTTTGGGCTTTCCTGTGAAGCCCAAGAAAGGCATTTTATCAGGTAAAGTGCAGGGTAGGAGTCCTTCCTGGGGCTTAATGACCCTTGTTTCTGGAGGATGGATATCTTGAGAAAGAGGCCAAGGTCTGGGTAGAAATGAGGTCCGGGGCTGTTCAGGGAGCTGTTTCCCCCAGTGCTGCTAAATAAAGAAAATTGTGATTTGGAATTCAGTGATCACTTCCCCACTTCTCACTGGAAAATATACAAAGGCCCTAGAAGGGGTGACAGATACAGTTTGAGACAGCATATATAAGGGCACAGAAATACAGTTTCTTCCTCACTGGAAATGGATGGATGTGGAACATTGACAAGAGCTGAATGATAGGTAAAGGACTGAAACTAAAAACCAGATATTGCAACTTAATCTGAGATCAGGATGCTGGGAGGATCTGGCGATGCCGCTTGGTGAGGCACCCTTTCATAATGCTTTTGCTGCTGTTAGGGTGCTTTGGCCAGAACTAAGACAGTAACTACAGTTCATGTCAGGAAGAGAACCTGCTCTTGATTAGACCTGTGATCAAAACTTTTGTGGTAGAAGTTGGTACCTAATACCTTACAAAGCCAAGCAAGCATATTTTCTAGTGAAGGGTCCTGGGACTCATAGTCTTTTGACTTACATACATGGCAGTTAGGCCAAGGAACTCCAGGCTCTGAAATATGCATTTCCTGAGCATGTGTGCATTTGTATACGAGGTTGCCACAGCACACATGTAAAGTAGGTGCAGCAAGGAAGAACAGATTCTGCTGTCAGCTGCAGGGAGCAAAACCGACATTGAAAAAACCAAAGCAAGAAAAGGATAAGCACGTCTATAGTGAAGAGCACTACTTAGATGAAATCTATTAAATGCAGAAAGGCTGAAAAAAGGAGAAATGGTCACTGAAATTACACTTTCAACAAAAGAAATGAATCATACTGAAGGTTATAATCATTGACTCTTTCAACATACTAGTATGTGCTTAGATTTCATTATTTAAATAGACAGGCATTGTCATCTGCTTATTGCTGTGTTCTACAAGATGGAAAGTAAAGGTGGAAATTCATTTTCATATGCTATATTTATATGTGTTTATTTTCAGTTGTTAAAACACAAAAGCTCGCCCATTGGAAGTACACAGCCTACACCAGAGAGGTCTTTAATCTAATGGTGTATTTACATTTTAAAAGGAACTTTTAAAACATTTTCTAGCATCTTAATTAAAGTAACTAAGGTAGCAGTATCCATTCAAAGTCCTCAGCATATTCTCGTTAGTGGTGATGTTTAATTACACGAAGGATATTTATTATTGACGTAGGAATATAATTTTGCTATGATAGAGTTAAAGTATCTAACAGCAGCTTGCATTTTTGAGTAGGTTAGGCAATTCCGTACTGTCTTAATCCTCTTAGTTCTAAAGGTAGATTATCTGTTCCATGTCCTTTGACTTTGCTGGTAATCCCTTACAAACCTTGGTGAAAATCTCGTCACACTGCCTGAATTTTTTCCTCCTGCCTGAATTGCCCATTAGGATTTTTGTTTTCACATGTTCTGTTGTCTAGAGACATTAAAAAAAATCCTATCTGGGTAATATTGGGATTGAAGGAATTATGAAGAGCATAGCAAAATTTGTTAATGGAAATGCTCTGCTAAATGTGTTAAGTTTTACAGAGCAGTCAGCTGTACCATTATGTTCACTCAGACTAATTTTTGAGTTATGATCAGTAATAAATTCATTTTTCTTATGACTTTCTCCACAAGGTGCAAGTACTACACCTCCCTCCCTACAAGATTATTTCATCAGTGAAATTATGAAAACATAATGATTATATTTTAACCTGTGCCCCAAACAGTTTAATTGAATGGACTGAGCAGCACAGAATCAGTCAGTGAGCTGAAGACAAAAGTCTCCCAGGTTTGTTAATATACCTCATTTTAAAGCTTTTCCTTTAAAATAAACAATAGTATAAGCAAACAAAGGGAACTTAAGTAAACGCCATGTTTTGATTTATCTGTTCCCTAAATACTGCTAATTGTACTGATATATAAGGACTTTAAGAAACCAGTAATTTGAATACATGTAATAAAATTTTAGGGGCTCTGAGCTGGAGAGATGTCTTAGCGGATAAGGAAGCTTGCTGCACAAGCAAGAGGAATTGTTTGGATTGCAGCGCCCAACTACATAGATAGCTGGGAGTGACTGCAGAAGCACTTGTATTTCTAGGTGTGTGTGTGTGTGTGTGTGTGTGTGTGTGTGTGTGTGTGTATTGGGGAGTGGCAGGAATATCTCTGAGGTTTGCTGATGTGTGTGTGTGTATTGGGGAGTGGCAGGAATATCTCTGAGGTTTGCTGACCACCTGCCCAGTTCCAGGTCCAGATAGAAACCTTGTCTCAAAGAAACAGCAGAGAGTAATAGAACAGGACATCAACCTCCTCCTCTGGCCTTCATGAATGTGCATGGGAGCACATGCGTGCACATACCACACATATATACATACATTGGATGCAAGCTGTAGAAAAGTCAAGGTGGAACTGAGATGGAAGCTTCCTCCCATCTGGCAAGCTTTCATAGTGACTAAAGCTGCTTGGGCAGAAAATGCTTCATAGTATTATTCAAATGTAAACACTGTAATCTACAATGTGTACCTGCTCAGGAACGATGTACCCACTGATGCAATAATGATACAATTATTATGGGGTAACCAATCATTCTCTGATAGGATTTGAGGCCCAGACCACAAGAGGGAATTAATTCCTAGTGTCCTAAATCTCATATATATAAAGAAACCATGACTAAGGCGATTTTAGGCCCTAGGGACACGCTTAATACTTTTGTTTAGCTAAAATGTCATGGTGCCAAGCTATCTTCTAAATATTTGTATCTGTAGACAAATGCTACTCTCAGCCTTAATAAGTAAAGCTTCTTCTATTTACAATAGAGGGTGATGAATGCAGAGATGCGTGGATGCTCAAGACGCTGAGAACAAGTAACATTTGAGAGTTGATGCCTTAATAAGATATATATATATGATATAGATATAGATAGATATAGATATAGATATAGATGTAGATATAGATATCTCCCTGCCTAGGGCTCAAAGTCTCAGGAAACATTACAGAAGAGGGGGTGGAGCAACATTTGAGGTTGAAGATAGGAAGTAGGACTGTGAAATTCTGTATTCTTGGCGTGACACACTCAATACAGTCATAACCTCAGCAACTATGACTACCTCCAATGGGGCTACACAAATCTGAGCTTATCAGCAGTCAGTTATGGATGAGTGGGTTGCTTATGGGGTCCTATACCTCCTTGCTGAATTTTTGACTGCTGATGGATGCTAAGGGAGTGTAAGTCATTGTCTTTAGCTGTGTGCCCACTGAGGAGCCCACCAGGCTCCAATGACTACTTTTAAACCTAAGGTCACCCAAATGATTATGGTGCAACTCATTGGATATCAAACATACACACACACACACACACACACACACACACACACACACACACACACACATACCCCCCAAAAAGAAAACAAAATGAATAGAAAATAAGAAGAAAAACAACAGCAAGCACAAAATGTGGTGAGGAAACTTAAGGAAGGG